ACCAAAGAGCAAATTCCAGCTGCCAAACGTGAAGCCAAATGTAGAAGTGACACAAATTGCAGTCCCCCCCTCAACCACTAGGGGCTGGCTCCAGAGAGAAGCAAGTTGGTTTTCAATAGTTTGGTTTTAGAATTGACTTGTTTTTGTAATTCTTCCTAAATTAGGTGTGAAAGTGCTTTTGGAGAATCACATCTTATTCAGGCGAGGCAAGACAAGCCAGCTTTATTTGTACAGCACAGTTCAAACACAAAGGCAATTCAAAGTGCTTTAGAGAAACAAGAACAGCAAGCATAATGTGGATTGTAATTTCAGATTGAAATAGCAGTCAAAAGGTTAGCAGTTACAGTGCAGAAAGTGCGGCATAACAAACATTTACTCAAAGGCTGATGAATACATGAAGGTTTTTAATTTTTATTTAAAAGTTATAGAGTTGGGGCTCATTTGAGGTTCATCTGTGTGCAGCATAGTGACTAAAAGCAACTTTACCCTATTTGGTTCTGACCCGAGGTTCTACCAGCTGACTGTTTCCCAAGGATCTGAGAGCCCTGCTGGGTATATGTATGCACAAGAAGGAGATCCAACATGTATTCTGGCCCCATGCCATTGAGAGATTTATAGACTAGTAGAAGCACTTTGAAGTCGATTCTGTAGTTTACTGGTAACCAGTGTAGAGATTTAAGAACATGAGTGATGTGACTCTAGCAGCAGCATTCTGAATGGGGAGACCAGTTAGAAGACCAATGCAATAGTCCAGCCTGCTGGAGATGAACACATGAATGAGTTTCTCTAGGTCTTGTTTTGACATGAGACCTCTGAGTCATGCTATTTGATGGAGATGATAAAACGCTGATCTAGCTATAGCCTTTATGTGACCAGTGAAGCTCAGGTCTGAATCAATGATTTCTAACCTGAGTCTTTGTCTTTATTCCTTCGAAGCCAAGTTGATAAATATCTTCCATCCTATCCTTCTTATTTCCAAAGACAATAACTTCAGTCTTGTCTTTGTTTGACTGAAGGAAACTTGATTGCATCCAGTCATTAACTTGATCTAGGCACTGACAGAGTGAGTCTAGGGAACCAAATTCATTAGGTGATAGAGCTAGGTAGATCTGGGTGTCATCTGCATAACTATGATATGCAATGTTGTTATTGTTTCTGACCTGGCCCAGTGGGAGCATGTAGAGATTAAAAAGCAGTGGCCCAAGTATTGAGCCTTGATGGACACCGCATGTCAGGGTGATTTGCTTTGATTTGTGTTCACTAATGGAAACAACATGACTCCTGTCTGTGAGGTATGATTGGAATCAACTACGGGCTGTGCCTGAAAGTCCCACCCAGCTCATTAGTCTAATCAAAAAGGATGTTGTGGTCCACAGTATCAAAAGCACTGAGATTGAGCATCACTGAAACAGATGTTTTGCCTGTGGTGGAGCCATCTGCTACAGAGGGCGCACTGGATGTGGTTCTGGGCCTACCTTGAGGTTAAAGGTGGCCTAATCAAGCCACAGGTGTAGGTTCTTTTTTGGAGACAAACGGTTTGACCGTGCTCGACAGTGTAGGCATCAATTTTCTTAGAGTTTAGTTTAGTTTGCCTGTTTTTCCTTCTTTAATAAATGGAAATACGGTTTTAGGCTTTTGATTGTTTTCTTCATATTAAAAAAACTTTCACACTTTGTGAAGAATGAATAAACATAAAAACAACAAAAAAAAAGAACATTTAAATCTAGCGCCAAATAAAACCTCAAAGTCTCTGTTTAAAAACTGTGGAAACTTTGAATTCAACAAGTACATTTTTCTCATGCTGAAGTCAGGAGCTGGTTGATTTTTGGGAGGAGAGAGGTGGTTTAGCAGTAAAGGAGGTGTGTGAAAGTGAGTGTGTGTGTGTGTGTGTGGGGGGGGGGGGGGGGGGGGGATTTTAAAGAGGAAGAACGTGTCAAAGGTTTATTTAAAGAAGGAAAAACCCCAAAATAAAAAAGAGCTTGGCCTGCGTTCCTTGTGCAGATGTAAACTTCCATATAGGAGGATCTGAGAGGATGCTGCAGCTAACTGTCACAGAGGGTGTGCTAGGTCTTAGTAAACACTCTAGGGTGGAGGTTAATTACTATGGTTGAGTATTGTTTCACACGTATTGTTTCACACTCGGTGTGTAACAGTTTCAAAACAAGGTCAGCTGAGCATCTGACACCCCACCTATAGATATTCTCTTGCACATATGTGCTAATCACAGATGTTTTGTGAGTGGCTCTTTTACTCCTTTACCGTCTTCCACTCACTCAGACATTCTTAGCCACTGTGTCTCCTCCTTTTTCCCTTCTCAGCCCACATCCCGCTTAGTAATTGCTCCCAGAATGTCTCGCTGTGACGCACAGTGCTCCCGAAAAACCCTCCAAACTGGGTCCTTACTGTGCTGCCATGGCGATGAGAAACAATTTTGTAGGATTTTGCTTTGGGAAAGTGCTCCACTCATCCCCTTTTGCTTGTACGGGTTACACACACACACCCTCCCACTGTGGACACATGATGGACCTGTGGAAGCCTGCTGGCAAACGCCTGATGGAGTTCACACACCACATTACAGTGCAAGCAGGAACACACTTGCACTTTGGTTCAGTCCAAGTCTTCGGAGGTCTTGCCTGTGTCAGAGCAGCTGGGCTGCATGCTTTGATACAATGGGCTCATTTGAGTGGACAGGCACAGTGTGAAAAATGTCTCAAACTCAGTCAGTGACCGAAAGAATGAAAAGAAAGAGGAGAAGGAACGGCGACTGTCTGCACTAGAAGAATGCTAAAACTCTCAAAGAATGAGTCACTGATGGAGAAGCCATATCCACATGAAAAGGCTTTTCTGCCACATCTCTAATATTCACAGTGAAGAATTTATCCTTCACAGGTGAATTATGGTTTAGGTGACTTTAAAAAAAGACAAAAAAGGAAAAAAAAGAAGAAAAAATTGATAAAAAAAAGAAAAAAGAAAAAAGGAAAAATAAGAAAAATAAATAAAAGGGGGAGAAAAGATAAAAAAAGAAAAAAGAAAAAAAAGATAAAAAAGGAAAAAGATAAAAAAGAAAAAAAAGATTAAAAAGAAAAAAGATTTTAAAAAAGGAAAAATACGAAAATAAATAAAAATAAGGGGGGGGGGGGTAAACTAAAGGGAAAAAAAGAATAAAGGAAAAATGAAAAAAAGAAAAAGAAAAAAGATAAAAAAAGAAAAAAATAAGGGGGAAAAAATAGAAAAAATAAAGGAAAAAAGAACAAAAAAGGGGGAAAAAGGTGACTAGTACCAGGGAAGAACATTTAGAAAAGTTTAGGATAAAAGTAAATTTTAACTTTTGGTCACTTTCTCCTCTTTGGATTTCCAAACAAAAGAGAGGAAAATGAATCAAACTGAGCAAATGGCTTTGTTGAGAAGCACCTCACCCTTGCTGTGTGTAAACATGGAAAGCTGCGCTTCAGCGGAGCTGTTTCACACGGAATATACGAGGGCAGTAACTCATTTTAGCGGGGTCTTTAAGGTTTATGTTGCTGCAAAACTTCACCTTTTAAAACCCTCAAACTGCAAACTACCCCAAAAGGTTAAAAGTTATTGTTTCATTCCATACAGAAAGAGTTTAGGCAAAGAGACAAAAACGTTCCGTTGTTTTCCATCGATCTCAAGGCCCCTATTTACGTTGTCCCATCCGGTTCCGACGTTCCAGAGGCTCGGGCTATTTCAGGTACAGAGTCTGACTCATTCCTCCCATGTAATTACCTCCATCATGACCAACTGCCGCCCTGTAGATTGTGTCGTTAATGAGACGTGCAAGAAGGGAGGCTCCTTCAGGGAAATCCCACTAAAGCGAGGGTATCCCCACATGCTAAGGAAACACGCCATATCCCTTCTCCTCCCTCTGCACCCACAGCAGCTATACGAACATCTGTGAGTCATAAAGTTTTCCTTCAGCTTTCCACCCCGTAACACTCTCTTTCCACTCATTTGTTCCATGCTACGCCATTCTGGGCGTATATGGTTTTATTTTATTGAAAATGGCGGGAAAAGGCGATTGTTTCCTTCAGTTCTGGCTGTACTGCTGGACTATATCACCTTTATGATGAACGCTTCCTCTGGCACACACACAGAGGGAGAGAGATTAAATGAGGGAGCCGAACTCCGGCTGAAGGACTCGACGAATATCGCGTGTGTTCACGAGCTGCAGCATATCTGTATGAAAATGCAAAATGGCCTACTGCAACCGCATCGGTGCTGATGTCTGGGCTGAGGGGTTCGTTTGTATGGCAACCACATGTTGGCATGTAGGGAAGCCATCCAGCAGACCATGAGCTGACCTCTTGGAAAATGCTCCCCTCACAGGGCTCTCTTGTGGTGCCATGGAAACACTCTGTGGCTCGGTGCAATGCAAAAGAAATATTTACTGCTGATTTTTAGTTTTGTTGTGGCTTAATAAAAGCCTTTTGTACTCAGAGTCATATTTCTTTTGTCTAATAAAATGTGCATTTTGTACATGCATGTGTGACTGTCCATCTTTCTTTTTACCAGTTTAGCTTCAAGTTAACAGCAAAACAACACCTGACAGAGATTTTAAGGGTTTTTCTTTGCAAGCCGATCTTCTTGGGGAGGTTTGTACTGTGTAAGCTACAAACACAGATTAAAGACGGTTTAGATCCTTTTTCAAGTCTATAAAACATGTTACATAACACCAGAGAGTTGTCTTCCCCAGAGGTTACCACCTCAACCACGTTAAGGACAGGCTCCCAGCAGGAAGGGACAGAGACGGCGCTTCGATTTGAAGCTTCTTTTTTTCTTAGAGTAACACTGAGCACTTTCCTGCTCCTCTGCCCTGCTGGTTGAAGGTGGAATTACAACTGCTGTACACAGTGCTGCTGCAGCCTTCTAACAACAAGCTAACACTAACATGAACCATCCATCCATCCAACTTCTGAACCCGCTTGTCCATGTAGGGTCGCGGGGGGGGGGGGGGGGGGGGCTGGTGCCTATCTCCAGCGGTCAACGGGCAATCAGGCGGGGTACACCCTGGACAGAGAGCCTGTCCATCGCAGGGCAACACAGACACACAGGACAAACAACTATGCACACACACACTCACACCTATGGACAATTTGGACAGACCAATCAACCAAACAGTCATGTTTTTGGACTGTGGGAGGAAGCCAGAGTACCCGGAGAGAACCCACGCATGCGCAGGGAGAACATGGAAACTCCATGCAGAAAAATCCCAGGCCGGGAAGCGAACCCTGGACCTACTTGCTGCAAGGCAACAGCTCTAACCACTGCGCAGCCCTAACATGAACCAACTGATTCTAAAATAAACCATAAAGTAAAATGATCCACATTGTTGGACAAAAATATTTTTACTTACAAGTCCAGGAGCAACAAAGCCAGGTCACCATCAGTCCATTATTTTGTAGCCTCCCTTAGCTCCCTCAGACTAGCGTAGGCCGTGCCGATGTTCGCCGATGCTTTGTCTCCAGGATCCGCAATAATGCCAACAAAAACAAACTTCTTTGTTCTCTTCTTGTACTTTTTTTGGACAATCAGCAAACTGAAACAGCTAACTGCTAGCATACCAATCGTAAAGTAGGTAAAGAGCCCCCCGTAGAGCATCTACCCTCTCTGCAAAACTGTTTAGTGCAGTATCTGGTCAGCAGAGGTCTGTTGAGTGGTGTAAAATAGGAAACGGGTCAAGTTTCTAACTCAACAATCACTGAGATCAATGTTAGAGCTCTGGCTTTTTTCCTGTTAAAAGGGAGTTTTCCTCTCCACTGTCGCCACATGCTTTCTTAGTATGTGGATAGCTGCAAAAGTCTCTGACACAACAGTGACTCAATGTAATCTGCTGGGTTCCTTATATAGGAAACTTTTAACTAACTGGTACAATAAGCTGAACTCAGTTGGAATGTTTCATTTTGCGAAGTGTCTTGAGACAACTCTTGTTTTGATATGGCACAAAATAAACAAACTGAACTGAACCTAAAGTTTAAAAAACTACTTTGTGTTACTTTCAAGTCTATGCAGCAGGATAATCATGCTGACTTTTGACCCGTTCCTTCCCTTCTGACAATCCTAAAGTTGATATGGTTAGTGTAGTAGTTCTAAAGATAATCTTATCAGATAATCCTTCTGTATGTGGTGTGTTACAAACACTATGATCTGCTCGAAAGGCCGTTAGGGATGTTCAGATCGGGGACAAATGAACGTGCTGCCAATCAGAAAATGCTCCTCCTCTACAATGTTTCTTCACTCCAAAACACGATTTATCTCATGAGGTCACCCGTTTGAGAAGGAAGTGCCCGTGAGTGAAAGCAGTTCATGTGTTGCATATGCTGAGATGCTGCACACCACATACTGCAGGACCAAAAAAGTTATATCTGTGATTTGTTGTCACCACGTGTGTAATCTCTCATGCTTTGAAAACCAGCCGACAAGTTAAAAATCTTGGTCTGTGAACCGGGCTTTAGCGAGACCGTTTGGTCTTTTGCTGCACAACAAGAAGGTTTCTGGTTCAAATCCCACCTGCACAGCCTTTCTGTTCTGAGTTTGCATATCCGCCCCGTGTATGGGAGTGTTTTCTCCAAAAACATGCGTGTCAGGTTAATTAGTGACTCTAATTTGTCCCTATAGGTGAAAGTGATTCTCTAACTGGTTGCAGGAAGATAACTGAGAGATGGTCATGTGACCAAGCCTCCCACCAGCTCATGACGCATCAGCGTAGAGCACCAGTGTTTCACGTTAAATAGTGAACTCTTGCTTGTCCCTGACATAAACAAACACTCAGGCTTGTTTGCATTAGCTGAGCTTGTTTTTTGCTAACGTGTTTGCCCAGGAGTCTTCTTCTTCTTCTTGTTTTCTGTATAACTTCAGGGTGTGGGGTTTATGTCAGCTTGTCTTGTGTCCTGACCTTTGACCTGGGCGTGGCACCTAAAGACGAAAAGAAAATGTGTAGAAAAGGCAGAAGTTAGAAGGCTTGGGCCTCTTTCCTTCCTTCCTTTCCTTTCTGAAATGTTACGACTTCCTTTGCGCTGCAAACTCTCTCTCTCTCCACGATTCCTTTTTGTTCTCAGTTTTGTCTTTTCTTACCCTCACGTGCCTTTTCAAGACTTTTTTTAACCTTCCCTCTCAATCAAAGTTTAGATTTTACCCTTGCATGTGATTCCTGCTCTCTGTTCCCCCGCGACTGTTACGTCTTCACCCACTCCATCAGTCACACCCCTTTTTAAGTTCTTGTGTGCTGTTTGTCAAAATCCTCTAATCATTTTCTGTCTCTGGAGTGTTTACTTTACCTCCCCTTCTCCTCTGGTTGACTCCTGACCTTCCATCTGCAGAGCTGTGCTCAGATCCTTCTCGGCATGCCTCCCCCCCTGACAGGAATGCACTATTTGTACATAAACAGAGAACAATGCCTGATAACAGGACAAGGATTTTTTTTTACCAGTAAGTCTGTTAGGAGAACGAAGGAGGAAGGAAGATGAGATAAATTGGGGATTTCTAGAGAGAGAAAGAGAGAGAGAGAAGGTATTATTAAAATAATATGCAATAAATTAAATGAAAACAGAGCAGATTAATGCAACTTCAACCTTCACTGAAGTACAGAACACAAAGGAAATTTCTGTCTTTATTGCAGTGGTAAAGTATCAATTCTGTTTTATTGTTGCTAATTCTCTAAAATCATTTAGAAATGCAGGCTGATTCAAGAACTATACGTCTTATAAAAGTGGTTTTGGCTTGAAATAAGGTGTCAGCAAAATCCTGTTATTGTTTTATTTAAAATATGATCTAAATATGTGAAAAAAGTGTCTTCTGAGTCTAATTTGCTTCTTTGCTTTCATATAAAAACTATAAATAGGTTGGAAGTCGAGTCTGAAAAGGGTAGCCTGCCTTCTCCAGGTCAGGAATGATGTCCTGCCTAAAGTAGAGTATCTCAGGGTCTTGTTCATGAGTGAGGGAAAGAAGGTGCGTGAGATCAATAGGCGGATTGGTGTTGCGTCTGCAGTGATTTGGGCGTTGTACTGGTCTATCGTGGTGGAGAGAGAGCTCAGCCGGAAGGCAAAGCTCTCAATTTACCGGTCGATGGACCTATGGACACGAGTTTTGGGTAGTGACCAAAAGAAAGCGGCCAAAATGAGTTTTCTCCGCAGGATGGCTGGGCTCTCCCTTTAGGGTGAGAAGCTGGGTCATTCGGGAGGGGCTCGGAGTAGAGCCGCTGCTCCTCCACATCAAGAGGAGTCAGTGAATGTGGCTCGGGCATCTAAGGTGCTCAGGGTGCATGCTGAATGCCTCCTCGATGATGTTTTCCGGGCACGTCCAACCTGGAGGGAACTTAAAGGAAGACCCAGGACACGCTGGAGGAACTATTTTTCTCAACTGGCCAGGGAATTCCCCTGCAGGAGCCGACCCAAATGGCTGGGGAGAGGGAAGTCTGGACCTCTCTGCATGAGCTGGGCGTACACTGTGTGACTTTTTTACTTTTTTGAGCCGATTTTCCCCTCGTGCGAGAATCTGGGCGAGTTTTGTGTTGAGCGTCATGGAGTATACAGGGGGTTACGTGAGGCCATTAGCACCACGTGACAATCTACCTTTCAGCAATCGTAAGCTCGGACGAATTTCTGGTGAGTTTGATACTTTGCTTTTCCCTCTGAGTGCATTGCGCTGTTGAGGCGGCGCTGCGAGCAGCTGCAACCCAAAAAGTACCAGAACTTCTCACGGCGCATGAGCAAACATGCGTCAACACGGCTAGCCAGCTATTTCCCTCTTAACACACGTCTTTCATTTTTATTTATACACTTTTTTCACACACAATTACAAGGATTGTCAAGAAAGCATGTTTATGTAACATTAAAGTGATTAAACATTGATTTACTTTCTTTTATTGTCTTCCTCATCCAACTTCCTTCTACAGCACAACCCAAAGGACAACAGACATCGATGACAACGCAAAAAAGTCCGGCATGTTGTGCAAAACTTCTATTGTTAGCATATTTGTAGGTCCGACGTGTTGCTACCAGAAGTACAGGGTGAACAGTCAGTTCGCGTCCGAGAACTAGGTCATACAGTGTGAGCACATGACTCGTGAGCATTTCTCTACGAGGAAGTCGTACAGTTTGAGCTGAAGCTGAAGGCGTTTATCCGCGGGCAGCAGAGGACGTTGTCGCCCTTTGCTGCCCGCTCTCCCCTCACCGATGGCACAGTCAGATTTTTTGGACAGTGGGAGGAAGCCGGAGAACCTGGTGAGAACCCACGCATGCGCAGGGCGAACATGGAAGCTCCATGCCGAGACACCCCAGACTGGGATTCGAATCCAGGACCTTCTTGCTGCAGGGCAACAGCGGTAACCACTGCACCAATCCATAAAAAAATCAGAGATCAATAAAATAAAACTCCCCAGAAAATAGAGGTGATCCTCAGCTAATTCCAAACTAAGTTATCGCCATCCCTGTGATTTGCTTTGCTGGCCGTTTTATTTGGGATTCATTCCAGATAGGCGTACATCCGATGAGGACCTTCTGGAGTTTAGTTCAATTTCATTGAGTTGTTCACTGATTCACCTGCAGTAAAGCGACCACAGAAGAAAACAGGAGGTCATAAAGGTCAGCAGTGACACAAGAAAGTAATTTGTAATTGGCTTGATTTCTGAGTTGTTTTATCTCAAACTTTAATTTCTCCCATTGTGACATCACAATCAGGGACTTTTTCAAATGGCTCCGTTTAGACAAATAATTCCTAAAACCAGGCTTTGAGTGTTTATAGAGGCAGTGGAGACAGCATGGCAGCACAATAGGATGCAAAGTCAGATTTTTGCATAGCAGGTTCCCTTTCACAGAAACAATGAATACACAAACATTTGTCAGTTTAATTGTAATCTGTAAATTTCGGTCCAAATCCCCCCAAAATTAACTTCTGTAAAACAACAAAAAGATGGTTCACCTAAAATGATAGACCTCATATCTCCTTTATTATGTGTTTTGCAGACAAGACACAACACTTCTTATTATTGACCAACGACAGAAAGAGCGAGAGAGAGCTTTGAGGCTGGATGCATCCGCTTAGTCACGCATGCCTGTGCTAATTTGCATGAAACATCTTCTGGGAGACGCTGAAGTATCCGTGGAAACCTAGTCACTGAAACACAGATGAAAAAAATGCATAAAAATAGTGAAAAGGGAGGAAATGTTGCTCATAGCTGTAAACATCCACCCTATCCTCTGGTGGACAGACATCGCCCCCCCAGGATCCTGCTCCTGTGATACACAAATCTCTCAGGCTGGGCTTCACACGGCCGTGTCGCGTTGCATGCAAACACTCGCAGCTGGGCCTCACAATGACTCCATTTTCTGCAGCCGCTGCAGTGAGGAGAAAACACAGCTGGGCAGTGCCAAACAGTGAGTGATTGAATCAAGATAAACATCTCTGACTGTCACTCGCTTTCGTTTTGTTTAAAACCTTTAAGAAGTTTAATGGAAGAGTCTGCTGCAGCAGAAGGGGGCAGTAGAGTGCAGGTGTTGCACAGGTGGCTTTAGTCTCAGGTGAGGAACACTATCTGCCTCGCTTTAATCTCTCCGACCTTTGCACGTGCACCTCAGAGGAGATTTCAGCGGTTGCTATCTTGCATTGTGCAACGAAGGTTTTCCGCTCCTTGCACCTATGTGAATGTTTCTGAGCTGCTTTTGGGGGGGGGGGCAGGATAGGATAAGTGTGTCCTACACCAAAGAGGTCACCTCTCTCCTGCTGCTCACAACACTAACAAACCGCTGTAGCAGGGAAAAGAGTAGAAACCGCCCTTTTGGAGTTTATGGGTATGGGCGTGTGTTCTTGGAATCATTGTTCTTTTCTGCAGCAGGAGGTCCACCAACATTAAAGGCATCCAGAATGGTTTCCAAAACAATTCCTTACAGAAAAAACAAACTTTGCATCACCAGCTGTTATCAGAACACAGCATGCTGACTGGGTAGGAAATAACAGGTCTGCTGTGCAGCGGACCCCTCCCTGCTCTGATGGCCTTCTGCTACCTTCCCCTTACTCCGCCTTTTAACCTTCATCACTTTCAGCCTTTCCCCTTTAATTATTCAGTCCTCACATTGTTCAGAGAGACTAACAACTCCCTCTTTGTGCATACAAATCTGCAGCTTCTTCACCTTCTGCAGGTATGCCCCTGTGAGCCAAACCTTTTTTTTTGTTTGACCCACCGACCTTGTTTGCACTTTCTCTTGATTTCCTAGAAGGATTCGGGTAAACGGAGTTCTGCAGTAAGTCTGGACACCACCCATACACAGAGATCAGTCCTGGGGTTGGATCTGCAGTTGTCTTTCAACTCCAAATGCAACTGGACAGCAGTGGGACCAATCAGAGCAACACCACAACAGAGCGTGGCTAGACCGACCTGCAGAACTAAACCTTTTGCTGCGGCCACGGTTCACGGTCTGGATTTCTATGCTAGGTCTGCAGCACGGCGTGGAAGACAAAAGTAGGACTGACGAGTAGAATTAGAGGAGATGAGGTTCTCACTGATGAATGATTTCAGGGTTTCTGAACATGTTTAAAACACATAAACACAAAATCCACATTTAAGGCGTGTTTTTCCATTAGATTTTTACTGAAAGAACTTTATTTAGTTTTATTTTTGTCACACGACACTGCAAGGTTAGCCTTAAAGATGGTGCTCTGTGCAAAAGTTCAAAGCTGTTAAGATGTGTAGATTGTTTTCAACCGTGCAACACCCCCCCAGGGAAATGTTTGACTGTCACATGTTTAAACAAATACAACTGTTAAAAAAAAAAAAAGAGTGTGGCAATGAACCAGTCCCTTAAACGTAGAAAGACTACTAGCTCTACTTTGGTTCTTCAGGTTCCTGTTCTGTCCGGTAAACATATGCATGTTTCTTACAGTTGGAAGTGTGTTTCAGTGTGAAAATGATAAATCGTTGCTGTAGTCTTTGTAGATGGCTTCATGAAAGCTTCTGTTCAGAGACAAAGAGCATTCAGGATTGATAAGCTAATGGCTAGACATCAGAAATCTGCTCTGGAGTCATTTCAGAAAACATTAATGAGCCTAAAAAGATTGTTCCGATGTCCAAGCATGTTGCTGCTGCCATGACATTTATGCATGTGTCACAAAGTGGAAAAGTTTGGATTTAGTTTAAGTTGCATGATTTGTGTTTTATCGTTGACATGCTTATTTTGTGTTTGGAATGTGTTTTCCCTTTGTGGTGCCTCCCAGAGACACTAATTAGAACAAATGGGAACAGGTGTGGAATGCCCACAGGTGCAACGGACTCAAAACGAGGTATAAAAGAAACTGAGGAAAGAGTCCAAGAGAGCAGGAGACACCAGAGACATGCATGAGGAACTGGTGCGTCTGAGAGTAAGAGACGCACCCTGGACAGTGACATCTCTGGCAAGGACACGAACGCCCGACCACCCTGGAATGCAGAACGGCACCTGGAGCACCATCCCAGGACGTGGACAAGCGACCAAGTGTGGAGGATTGTGGGT